TGACTGGTATTTGAATGAGCAACCTGCCTGTTCTTTTAATAGATTTGCTAATTGTCAGAAAAGTACTTTAATCTGCTGGGTTTTTCTACTTGGGTCTACAGATTTGCATTATTATTATCACAATAATCACTGGGATATCTAATGTTAAAAGTTTCTGTGTCCAGCTAAAAATGCAGCTGTGTTCCTACTTCACAGTTAGGGTGACCAGATGTCTGGTTTTCAATTGGAACGCCTGTAAAAAGGGATCCTTGTGGAATCCCAGCTCGTTGACTGGTTTGTGGCACCGTGTAGCGGGGCTGGCAGGCTTCTTGTTAGCTTCTGTGCCATGTAGCTTCTGGGAAGCAGCCAGCATCCTCGGTTTGGGTCCTACGTGTAGGGGCATTCAGAGGGTTCTGCACTCTGCCCCCTCAAGTGTCACCCTGCAGTTCCCATTGACCAGGGACTGTAGCCTATGGGACTGGTGCCTGCAAACCAAACAGCACAGAGAACCAGTGCATAGAACCATTGTGGCTGCACTCCTGCCCAGGAGCTGCTTTAAGTGAGCACCACCTAGAGCCTACACCACTGGCACCCTCCCAGGTCCCAACCTCCTGCCCCAGCCCTTCATTCTCTGCCCCCTCTGAGCCCACACCCCCAGCTAGAGCCCTCACACCATCTCACACTCAACCTCCCAGACCCCAGTCCTGATCCCCCTCCTGCACCCCAAACCCTTTATTCCCAGCCCCACCCTAGATTGTGCAACCCCAACCCAGAGCCCCCTTCAACCCCCTCAATCCCAGCATGGAGCACCCACCTGCACCCCAGATCCCTCATCCCTAGCCCCACCTCATAGACTCATAGACTTTAAGGTCAGAAGGGACCATTTTGATCATCTAGTCTGACCCCCTGCACAGTGCAGGCCACAGAATCTCACCCACCCACTGCTAGAATAATCCTCTCACCTATATCTCAGATATTGAAGTCCTTGAAACGATGGTTCAAAGTCCCCCAAGATGCAGAGAATCCTCCCGCTAGTGACCCGTGCCCCATGCTACAGAGGAAGGCAAAAAACCTCCAGGGCCTCTGCCAATCTACCCTAGAGGAAAATTCCTTCCCAACCCCAAATATGGTGATCAGCTGAACCCTGAGCATGTGGGCAAGAATCACAAGCTAGACACCCAGAAAAAAGTTTTCTATAGCAACTCCTATCTTCCCACCATTGGCCTATTTACCACCTGAGAGCCTGTATCCCCAAATGGAAACTGCACCCCTCGCATTAGGGATGTCAGTGTGCAGACAACTAAACGATTTACTGATAAGCCTGGGCTTATTGATTAATTCTGTCAACTACGCATCTTTCCCCACTCTCCCCCTCCCCCCTCCGCTGCATCAGAGGCAGCCGGGGCGGGGGGGGAGAGGGGAGGGGGGAGAAGTAGGAACTTGTTCCTGTGCAGAGCCAGCTTAATGCTGGCTCCCGACAAGCACCGGGTCTCCCTGCCCCTGTGCTGCTGCCTCTAATAGAGAGGAAGCAGTGCAGAGGATGAGGGGGGCAGGTGGGAGTCGATACATGCAGGGAGCTGGCTATGTGGACTTGCCTGCCCACTCCGCTTGCTGCCTTCTGCAGAGGCGGGAGGTGGGGGGAGGCAAGAGCTGGTGCTGGGGGAAGCTGGCTTAAAAGTCAGCTCCCCCCTGCACCAGCACTATGGTGCCACCTCCCAACCCTCACCCCCGCTCGCTGCTGCCTCTATCAGCTCTACAGGAAGCTTGGACCCCCTCACCGATAGGGGCGACAGGCAGTTGGCTCGCGAGGGGAACTGGTTTTTAAACTGGCTCCCTTCTGATAGAGAGGCAGCAGCACAGGATGGCAGGGGACTCCCTGGGACTAGGGCCGGGAGTGTACTGGCTGCTGGCCCTGCCTCGGGGAGGCTATCAAATAGTCATGTAACTGCTAAAATTTGATGCGGATACATGACTATTCAATTATACGCTAGCTAACATCCCTATCTCGCATCCTAACCCACTGCCTTTACCTCACGTTGAATTGCTCATTCCCAACACCGCTCCAAAGCTTGCACCCCTAGCCAGAGCCCTCATCTTTTCCCATCCCCCGAACCCTCTGAAACATCCGGGTGAAAATGAGTGAGTGAGCGAAGATGGGGAGAGCAAGCAATGGAAGGAGGACAGGGAGGATGGAATTAGCAAGGGCAGTGCATTGGAGAAGGGGTGGGGCATGGGCTTTGCCTCAAAGGAGGTGTTCGGTGAGGGTGTTGTGTGAGTAGAAAGATGACCATCCTATTCACATTTTAAGTGATAACAGATCAAAAGTCTTAAAAATGCAGCAGCTGCCTGCCCACCAACAAGCAAGAATACTCTGCATGTGTCTGAAAGAGGGTTTAAGTCACAAGAACATGCAAGTCAGGAGACATGCAATGTTGTCAGTCTTATCTATATTTGTTATACTGTATAAGTGGCTGTTAAAGTGGGGTTTTGCAGGGTTACCTTGTGGATGAGCATTGAGGTTGTGGTCAGGTTTGCTTTGTGGGAGGAATGCCAGTGACCCTAAAGCCAAGCACTTTCTTTTAGGTGCTCAATATATTTTCTGGAACCTCTACACTAGCATGTGAAGCACACAGAAGATTTAAGAAATTTGAACTAGCATGTCCTCACTACGGGCAAGCATCAAAATTAGTCTGAGGCAGGCTCTGTTAATGTGGATGTGCTACGTCGGACTTAGAGCCGTTGGAAGCACTGAGGAATAATTAGTTTGAATTACTCTGGAGAGTAATTATTTCAAAATAGCGGCACTGGAGTGTCCATACTATCATTATTTCAAAATTACTATTTTGGTATTAGCATTACTCCTGATGAAAAGCAGGGGTATAGATCTTGAATTCCACAGCCCATTATTTCAAAATAACAGGCTTGCTGGTGTGGACACTCACTTATAAATTTGGTTTTAGGGAATTATTTCAAAATAAAGTCCTAGTGTAGACCAGGGCTAAAAACACATAATTCTTTACAGTGTTCTTAGTGCCAGGAGAATAATTTGCCTTCTGAAAGAGCTTTGTGCTGTTCAGGAAGCTGAAAAAGGTTGCTTTGAAAACACTAAACCTAAAACAAAACTGTTGCTGAATGCCACCATAGAAGGATTTAAGGTCAAAAGTTGAGCATGCTTTACCGTTGTTTATTCATCCGTTATTTTCACTTGTCCGTGTAATTCGGGGTTTAGGCCAGTTTCTGAACTCATTGACACTGAAGTCATTTCAGGGTAATTCAACTGAAATAAATTGAGTTAGCTGGAATTTACGCTGGTATTACTATGATAATAGTCTTGTTCTGCAAAGCTTAAATACAGTCATAGAGTATAGAACTGAGAATTACCACTTGGCTCTACTTAGAGACCATACATTCTGCAGAACTATACAATAATAATATAATAATGGGTATCTGCTTGTCATGCTGCTGCACCCAGCTCCATATTCCAGTACTCATCTGTATTTACTAATATTTAACCTAAAATGTTTTTTCCTAACCTTAGGCATTGTCCCTTATCCAATTTTCAGAGACATTGACCAATTTGTTCCTTTGATGTACGTTGTTACTTTTCATTTCTTTTTCTTGTTTACACACTTTTATATTGTCACTTCATCTATGGACTATGTTTATATTAGGGATGCAATAGTGTATACATTTAAATGGTTAACCAATGAGCCTACATGCAAGCCCCCACTCCCAGTGCTCGCTGGGAGCCAGCTTTTAAGCAGGTTACACTTTTACAGAAAACCCAACAACGCTTTTTAACATCCCTACTTTATATCTCCCTGAGCCTACTTTAGTACTATCTAGATGCATCTCCCACTGTCTCTTGAGTTCTTGCATCAATTATGTTGCCCTGCTTTATATGTGTTCTATTTTTTCCTGAGCTGTGTTAATGTGAACTAAATACAGTGGGACACATTATGCCTAGTATTACCAACTTTCTCAATGCAGAAAACTACATGTTTTTGCCCCACCCTCTCTCTGAGGCCCTGCCACTGCTCACTTTATCTTCTCTTCCTCCATCGTTCGCTGACCCTCATCTTCACTCACTGCCAGGCTGGGCCAAGGGATCGTAGTGCAGCAAATGAGGGCACCAACTGGGAGTATGGGCTTGTAGGATGGTTGGGGGTGATGGTTTGCGGTGTAGGAGAGTGTTTGGTGTTTGGGCTCCGGGTGGTATGGACCTCAGCTGTTGCCAGTGTTTTCCAGGGACAGAAATGTCTACGTGGCTCCCAAGAAGCATGAGCATGTCCCTCCAGCACGTAGGTGGCCTGGTGGCCAGGGGAGCTCTGCACACTGCCCTCACCCACAGGCACTCCCTCTAGCACTGGCTCCACAGCACCCATTAGCCATGCTGTTCCCAGCCACTGGGGCAGCATCTGACTGTGGAGGCTGCGCACAGAGCCTCCCCTCACCCTGGGTTGTCTATCCACCAGGGAGCTGGAGGAACATGCCACTGCTTCCTGGAACTGTGTGGAACCAACAAAACTTTTAGTGGCCTGGTCAGTTCTGGTGACTATAGCTGCCAGCATCCTTGTCAGCCAGGCATTCTGGTGGAAATCCAGATGCTTGGCAAATCTAATTATACCTCATGAAGGAGGGAACATTTGCACTGGAAATTTCACTCTCTACACCAGAACTGAGTTTGTCCTAGTGTCCCAGCTGCAGGTGGTTGTTCACATCCTCGTTTCATATGAAATCTCCCCCTAAACAAAATACAGCATTTGGTTTTTAGAGGTACAGGACTGTATTTGGTTGGTATTGTACTGTCAACTTATATATTTTTTAATCTTTAATAGCATTGACTGTTTCTAGGATGTTCTTTACTTCACTAAATATAATTTCTTTTTAACAATGATATATAGACAAAGATTAATTTTCAGTACTAAGATTTTATTCCCAATATCCCCATCACAGTTGCTTATGTGCCACGTGTTTTCAAACATAATAGTTCAGATATGCTGTTGCTTTTCTATCTGCAGGTATTCCAGAAAGAAGATATTGAAACATTGCAAGTGAAACAACAAGAGGTAAATTGGTTAGGTCAAGGACTTATTCAAAGTGCAGCGAAAAATGCAAGCACCGAGAACCTTGAGCATGACCTTGAAGAAGTTAACACACGATGGAAGACTCTCAATAAGAAGGTTATTTTGTATACTTATCAATTCAAATTTTGCCTTCCTTGTTTTGTATTTTCCCCTATTTATTTGGCATCATCTTTCAAAATACAGGAAATTAAAAGATGTTCATGATGGTCAGGGATTCTGTTGCCTTAACACAGTAACTTTCTTTGTAATTCTCTTTAAAACATTTCTGTCAATCACTGGTAACATATGGTTGTTATTTCCACAGTTCTGTCCATTTTTCTGTAGGTTTATTCCTGGCATTCTTAGCCAGAAAAGGTTCCCTGGGGACTCTTTGCTCTCCTCTGCACAAGCAGAGCAGGGAGGAGTTTAATAGCCCAAGTTGTGTGGAGAAGGTATTGAGGGGAGACACATGTGGGAAAGGTAGCTATATGGGTTTTTTTCCTCAACCATGTTGTACTCACTTCTCTCTCTCCTTATTCCACTATGATTTTTCTGTATTCACATTCACCATTATATCAGAGAGTCTGTTCTATCATATTCACCATGATATCTAAGCATTTTCCAGTGCTGTATGAAGCAGCAATAGGGCTCAGCTCTGTGTGGGCAGTAACATGTTTTCTTTCATATGAATCAGGGCTTATGGTGCTTTAAACATTGTAAGTTTCACAGCTCAGTGGAGCAACTTCTCTCTTGAGTCCTCCATGAATGTTCCCTAGACAGAAGCTGAGGATAGGATGCGACAGGGATGGGACACAAGAAAGGTGCATATTCTCACAGGATTCATCTCACAGGAGAATGGATGGAATGGATCATCAGATGTCCATGGCTCATGTATATGTCCTCTTCTTCTTTTATATTGTGAAGGGACTATTGTCCTGAATATGGAGTTTCATTTGGGGTCTTGACAGAGTCCTGTTGTAAGAAAGCCCTTGTAAAACACACATTTGTTAGAGGTATGTTTCACCTCACTGTATCTCCCCATAGAACATAACTGTACAACACAGGAGTATTATTTCTACTGGATCATTTGGATAATAGAGTTTACTGGGAATCAACCTCTTTCCTTTAAATGGAAGAAATAAGTACCCTAGTTCACACATATAGTGGTAGAATTTTAAAATGAGGAACGTGAATTAATGTATACAAAATGATGAAGAATGAAAATATGCTATAGTAAGAAAGACAGCCATGCTGCAAGCCTCAGTTAATTGGCAGAAGCAGCAAGGGAGAAAAGGGAAAAATGAGTAATACATCCTCTCTCTGTCTTTCTTTCAGGTTGCTCAACGAGCTGCTCAGCTGCAAGAAGCTCTTCTCCGCTGCGGAAGGTTTCAGGATGCCCTTGAATCTCTGCTGAGCTGGCTCATTGATACAGAAGACTTAGTGGCCAATCAGAAGCCCCCATCTGCTGAGTTCAAAGTTGTGAAGGCCCAGATACAGGAACAAAAAGTAAGTGGGACTTATTACTGTAGATTCAGATACTTGCTGCTTCAGTGATGATAATGAATTCCCAATCTTCACTGAAGCAGAAAATCTGCTCAAGTGTGCTGTATTACAATCAAGTGTATTAATTAGGGGAGGGGGCAACATTTCTTTGCAGAAACTAGACTGATTCTCCTTCATCTGTACTTGGGTGCAAGTGCAAAATCTAGCAAGTTAAAAACAAGAAGAATCAAGGCATTTTATACACAAAGCAGGAGGGAAAAATCAATGTCTGGTTAATAAAAGAAATAGAATATGAGAAGGGACAGAATTTTCATTTGAACATTTTCATTGCAATATTGCAGTGGACCTAACCACTCTAGACTATAACTTGCAGCATGGAGTAAACACCTAAATCCATTTCTCTTTGCATCCTCAGTCAGAATGCTGGTGCCTCAATCTTGGTCATATGCAATGTTGGGAATAGTATGTGTGGAATTAGGAGGGTTGCAGGGTAGAATTTGTGTAACTAGAGAATAAGTGGACACAGTGGAGTTCATGGACCAAACCACTGCATGCAATTCTACAATATGGCCCAATGTGATTTCATATTAAATACAGAGGCACAGTCAATGAAGCCTAAAGGTTGCAGCAGGCACTAGAGCAGCCGTGGCCAGCCCGCGGCTTGTCCCCCAAAAGTGCGGTTCGTGAAGCCGCTCCTGCGCTCCCCCAAAATGGCCCCCACCTGCTCCCTCTTTCTCCCTTCCCCCCCAACTCTCGGCTTCCCTGTGCTTACCAGGTCGGAGCTGCGGGGTTTTAAAAATGGTGCCCAAGATGGCGGCTGTCTTAAAGGGGCAGCCTTCTTTTTAAAAAAATATTTTTTTTGTTTTTACTGGACAATTCTGTTCTGGGGGGGCTTTTTTTTCCTCTCGCGAGCCACAGGTTAACAATTCTGGTGCGTCTCTTCGCATTTTTTCCGCCACTGTTTTGGCTCTCTTTGTTAAATGAGTGGGCCACCCCTGCAATAGAGCATTGCATTCTGGGAGTACAGCAGAGTCAGAGAGGTGCAGCCAATGAAGGAATGGTGAAAAATAGTAGGATTACCAAGTTATAGACAGGAATATGGAAGACTCTTGGGGGAGATGCTAATTTACTGGGTGATGTCAGCAAATGAATTTTTCATTCATTCCCAATCAAGTGGTCAGTAAAAGAAGTAACTACAAGATCAGAGTAATTTAATTCCATGATTTTTTATATAATTTCAACATATAATTGTTTATTTTAAATCATTTTTCAGTTTTTATATTTTATTTCTATTTTTTCATGTACATTTCACAGTTGTGGGAAATTATATGTGGCTGACATTCAAAAAGTTAAAGTTTTATAGCCATTGAAACACAAATTGCATCATTTGTCAAACTGCAGTAAATTTTCATGTATAATTTTTCATACTTTGCCTGTCTATTAGTTTCAATCATCATCAGTGGAAATGTTTTTTCATCTACTTGCCTATGTAGGATGAAATCAACAGTTTCAGTTAAACACCTAGTCCTTCCAAGACTACATACGTTATCTGCAGTTTACTGAATGTCAGCAAACATACAGTTTTTCCGTAAATGCTCACACAGGTTATAGTAATAAAAGCTCAGTAACAAATATAGTGGATGTTAAATGTGACTTTCCCATGTGCATATGCACCAGTGAGGGATACCACACATCTTTGTCACCAAAAAGTAATTAATACACTCATTTACAGAGAAAGGTATTTTGTGGGGCAAGGACTTGGACTTCTGCCAGTTTCAACTTACAGAGAAATAAATAACTAGCTAAAGTCCAAATTAACTCTTTTTATAATACAGTATTAACATTTTCATGGTAATACAAGCATCTAATATTTCTCTACAATTATCCTTTTAAGCAGAAAATGTACATTTTTAACAAGATCTTGAGGAATCTGTCTCCTTACATTTCCAAGACTGTGTGTTGATTCAATTGTTTCCTAGCAATTTGATTTTTTATTTTTTATCTCCAGCTTCTCCAAAGGTTATTGGATGACCGCAGACCTACCGTTGAAGTAAGCAAGCGCGAAGGGGAGAAAATTGCAGAGTCAGCAGAATCTGCTGATAAAGTGAAAATCTTGAAGCAGTTGAGTCTCTTGGATAGTAAATGGGATGCATTGCTCAGCAAAGCTGAAACAAGGTATTCGAAATTCTTTCATACATTTGAAAAATATGGGTTC